CACATTTCCCCCTGGTCTTTACCCATCATGGCCTCCTAATAATCTATGAATTGGCTTCGTTACTCTGTCGCATCATCCAGGTGGGGCTGCACATTGGTGGTGGTGGAGGTGATCCCCATTACCTGTAAAGCGCTTTGAGTGGAGTGTCCAGAAAAGTGCTATATAAGTGTAAGCAATTATTATTATTATTATTGCACGTGTTTCCCGCAGTCGCTGGTCCGCCAGCCCCTGTCCAAGCGCCGCGCCCTGCTGCGGGAGAGCTTCACAGAGCGGGAGGGGGAGTTCATGTTCGCCTGCTCCCTCGACTCCGACAACACCGATGTCATCGCCGAATTCCTGGAGCAGTCCGTCAAAGGTTGTTCCCTCTTTGCTTTCCCAGTGAAGCCCGTTTGTTTGTTTGTTGTTTTTTTTGCATCCGCATGTTTTGCCAGCGACCCGTTGTAGACTCCCACCCTCCTTGGGTTGGGCGGCCTCGGATCTGTTGTTGGCCTGTGCCGGAAGCTGCTGATCTTTTTTGAGTTGGATCCGTCAGTAGGCCAACCTCTGTAGCGAGGCTGCAGGACATCCAGGCCCACACCGAGCGCTGGGCAAAACGCTGCTCGAGACTGTAACCACTGCGACGTGTTTCCGGAAGCCTCTTGTGGCCTCTTTCATGTAGCAAAAATTGTCCCCCATCGTGCAGATTCCTGCGAGGGCCTGATGGTGAAAACCCTCGAGAAGGACGCTACGTACGAGATCGCCAAGCGGTCGCACAACTGGCTCAAGGTAAAGGCCTGCACTCTTCGGGCGGACGGGTTTCAGATCTCCTTTTCTCTTTCCGGGGACAGCCTTCAGAAGCCCTGCTGTGCCCGTCACGGGTTTTTACTCTTTTTTTCGCTGATCTGGGGAGTTCGCACGTAGCGGTCGTGTTTGACTTCCTCCCCTTTTTGAGGTGATGGGGTTGATAATGGGCAGTTGTGCCAGTAACGGGCTGCGTCCGTCCTGGGGTTCTCCGTATCCGTATCCCTATCTTGTCGGTAGGGTGTCCAACTGGTGCGGGAAGGCTCTTGTTCGACCCCCCTTTTGCTTTCGTCCCCTTCTGCGCAGTTGAAGAAGGACTACCTGGAGGGCGTGGGGGACACGCTGGACTTGGCTGTGATCGGAGCCTACATCGGCAAAGGGAAAAGAACTGGGACCTACGGCGGGTTCCTGTTGGCTTGTTATGACGAGGAGAATGAGGAGTACCAGTCAATCTGCAAGGTGGGCTCCCAGCTCTCACTGTGGCTGCAGTGCAGTGTTAATGTACTGGAGTGTCCAGTCAGTGTGTCTGTATTAACCCCTCTCTCTCAGTGCAGTGTTAATGTACTGGAGTGTCCAGTCAGTGTGT